GGCCAAGCCGCTATCTATGTTTAACTATCTACTCTAAGTTCAGCTTGAGTCAGGGTGATGCGAGACGACCTCACTACACCTGTAGCGGAACCATGTTGAGCCCCCACCAAGCGGGGCTATCTGGTGGCGTTGGAGCTAAGAACGGGATTGGCACCGGTTAGCCTCGCGGCGGAATCTCATCGAATATGTTTCCTGGTCCAATATGGTAGCGTACTTCTCTTTTAAAGCTGTCCACTGGGTTTGGGAATTCGTTGTCATCTTGGACGCAAAACGCAAAATGCATTCGGGTGACACGTCCAGCAGCTGAGGTGAAACCAAGCTGGAAATACCAGCCAACGCTACACTTAGAATACTTGAGTGACTCTGCTACTTTCTCAATGGTCTTGAGACGGTCTGGGTAGCGTCCGTAGTAGATATCCATATACTTCTCATAGTGCTTGTAGTTCGGGTTGGTTGTCGGGTCAGGTCACTTTTTCTTGAGCATATCGAACTTGAATTTGCTGAAGACATCCTCCGGCGTCAGATTATCCACCAACCACCGATTGTACATGCTGTCCTGCTTCAGAAGTTCTTTAGCCTCTTTCTTCTTTTCCTTTTGCTTTAGTGCCTCCAGTTTCTGCGCTTGTTTAAGCTTTTGTGCCGCCACTTTCTCTTTTGCTTTGGACTTTTCGCTGGGCCTTGGCTGCTTTTGACTCCAGCTTTCCCTTTGTCTTCTTTAAGGCATCATCCATCTTTTCCAATTCTTTTTGTGGCTTCGCAGCAAGTTTATCTTGTGGAGTCATCTTTTGCCTGGCTGCCCACTTCAGCTTCACGAACGAGAGTTCATTCTTGAGGCCATCCAAGGAGATCCCTCTTTCTTCATTGTTGGTTTCAGCGGTGCGCAGGAACCGAATGTCGTGCTTGTTGTTGCTGGCAAAACCAAGCGTATCTGCTGACGCGGGAAAATGGCACTATAAGGTAAAGAGGAATGCCAGTGCTAGTAGCAGAGTCTTGTACGGCCGCATGCGCGAGGTCCACCCATCACACAAACTCTGGAGCCATCCGGTGTTTTAATCGAGCGATTCTATTAACCAACTCAAGCAAAAATACAGTCGGAGACGTCTCCACACGCGCTGCGGTTGTAAGAACTCGTTCCGGATTTAATAGACCACCTGAACAAACAGCAACAGACCACATTGGCACATATTGATAACAAAGTTAGCGAGCTTAGCAACACGTTGGCAAATTTTTCTAGATTTTTCAAACAACTCACATCTGGCGATGCTGCTGTGCGCTTGTCTGTCAATTGGGGATGCCTCACCGTAGTTGCATCTTCCTCTGAAACTTCGGTAGCCTACAACGAGTCGCTACCTTCAACTTACAATGTGTCGCGGAGCCTTAAAACAGTCAACCGCGCATGGAGCCGTGGCGTGTATGGCGGGCCCGCTGTGCGAGCACTCGAAGAGCGGTATGGCTCCTCGTGGCGAAACTCGCCAGCAGAGAACCGTTTCTACTTCAGACGCAAACGAATCATCGATAAAGTCATTGTAGTTCCTCGCATCCAGCAGATTAGCAGCGAAAGTCGAAATTTTAGAGAAACATCGTCTCGAATGCCACCTTACGCTAAATGCACTGAGTGAGCGCCTCGGTAGTAAAGAGTAGGTTCTAGCACACGATCTTCATATA